TTTGGGGGTGGCCACAGCAGGGCGAAGAAGAGAGTTCAAGGTGTCAAAGAGACGCCTGGGATTGCGGGAGCATGAAATAATGAGAGAGGACAAGTAGGACTGTTTGGCGAGGGCAAGGGCTGCGTTGTATGAACACAATATGAATATGAATCTATAATGGAGAAAGTCTGCTGGGTGCAAGACTTCTTCCAGGAGCGTTCAGCACAACTGGAGCATCTTTGCAGGTAGCGTGTTGATTTAGTATGCCACAGTTGGGTGCTTGTTTGGAGCGGTGCTGCAGTGTTCAAGGCAGAGGTGAGGGTAGTGTTGCGGAGATGGCCAGTGAAGGACAGGAGAGGGAAGGGATGGATAGTAGTTGTGAATCAATATCAGCTGACAGCTGCTGGAGATCAATAGAATTAAGGTTCTTCCTGAGTTGAGGGGGGTTAGGCTGAGGTTGTTGGGTGAGGGGGTACACGAGAACAAATGATAGGAGGTGGTGATAAGAGAGAGGAAATGGAGTGTTGCAGATATTAGATACTGTACATGCATAAGAGGAGATTAGGTCAAGGGTATTGCCAGCTACATGGGTGGGAGAATTCCAGGGCTCGAGTCCTGCAGGAACGCATGGGAACGGCGTTCCTGCACTTTTTCCAAAGCAGGAACGCTGTTCCCGTTACCTGTCCTGTAGGACCGGCCCTGCTACCTGCACAGAGGGGCCATCACACGCTGTGTTCCTTCTCCAGCTATAAATCTCGCGAGACCCGCGGCTGTTACCATGGCAACGCTCCGCACAGGCGAGTCTCGCGAGAGTTAGAGCTGGAGAAGGAACACAGCGTGTGATGGCCCCTCTGTGCAGCGGCTGGCTCCCTCCACCGGACCACCAGGCGATCTCCCCCCTCCCTGACAAGGTAAGAAGCAGGGAGGGGGGAATAAAATAAAAATTATACATAAAGTAAAGAAAAATGTCCCCCCCCCCATCATCCAGCACTCACACACCCATCATCCAGCACTCACTCACACACCCATCATCCAGCACTCACACACACATCATCCAGCGCACACACACACATCATCCAGCACTCACACACCCATCATCCAGCACTCACACACCCATCATCCAGCACACACACACCCACCCATCATCCAGCACTCACTCACACACCCATCATCCAGCACACACACACATAATCCAGCACTCACACACCCATCATCCAGCACACACACACACATCCTCCAGCACACACACACACACACACACACATCCTCCAGCACACACACACACATCATCCAGCACACACACACACTCATCATCCAGCACTCGCACACACGTCATCCAGCGCGCGCACACACTGCATTCATTATACACACTCTTCACTCACTACAAACACACTACATTCACTATACACCCTCTGCATTCACTATAAACACTCTGCATTCATTATACACATTCTGCACTCACTACACACTACATTCACTATACACACTCTGCATTCACTACAAACACACTACATACACTGCACTCATTGTACACACTGCACTCACTACAAACACACTAAATTCATTATACACAATTTGCACTTACTACAAACACACTACATTCATTATACACACTCTGCACTCACTACAAAAACACTACATTCACTATACACACTGCATTCACTATACACACTGCACTCACTACAAACACACTACATTTATTATACACACTGCACTCACTACAAATACACTACATTCATTATACACACTCTGCACTCAGTAAAAACACACTGCATTCATTATACACATGCTGCACTCACTACAAATACACTACAATTATTATTCACACTGCACTCACTACAAACACACTACATTTATTATTCATACTCTGCATTCACTACAAACACACTACATTCATTATACACACCCTGCACTGCACTATATGCATAGGAGTGTAATTTTTTTTTTTTAAGGGGGGGGGAGGAGGGGAGGCGGGAATCTTGGGTGAGTTCCCACACTTTTTTCCCCAGGACTTGACCCCTGGAGAATTCGCCCACTGCGATAGCCCGAGGGAGGAAGTAATTGAAAGTAGTTTGAAGGTGGGTTAATGGGAATATTGAAGTCCCCAAGAATTAGGGATGGAATATTAGAAGAGAGGAAATAGGGTAGCCAGGCAGCAAAGTGGTCAAGGAAGAGAAGAGGGGAACATGGGGGACGATAAATAATGGCATTGTTAGCAGAGAAGGGTTTGAAAAGGCGAATTGAATGTATTTCAAATGATGGGAAAGAGAGGGAAGGGGTGTGGGTAGAGGTTTAAAGGAGTTGTGGGTAAGCTGAAGACCACCAAAGGACAAAGATGCAGGGGTAGCAGTGTCAGAAGGAGAGAGCCATGTTTCTGTTAAGGCTAGTAAATCTATTGAACAAAAGATGAAGAAGTCATGGACAGCAGTGGATTTTGTAATATTGCAAACAGAGCGTGCATTCCAGAGGGCAGTATTGAAGGAGGATTTAGAGGAACATGAGATGGGTATGAGATTAGTGTGGATCCTTGGGTTAGTATATGGTGAGTTTGCCGAGATGGGACCGGGGTTTGGAGAGACATCACCAGCTGCTAGGAGCAAAAGGATAGAAAGGAAGTGAAGGTGGGAGTAGGATTTGAAAGTTTTGTAGGAGGGTATGTATGTAGAGGATTTGGGAGGAGTTGGTGGAGATAGGCTAGAAAGGTATATGTAGAGTGCATGGG